AATGGCACAATTACGCCGAAAACAAACACTTTGAGCCCTGAAGATGATCTCAATAAAGATCAAAACGTTGCCACGATAAAGAAAATATTTTTCTGAAACCTGATTTCCGAATAATCATCGTCTAACGGTCACTAACCACCACACATTTCTCATCTAGCTGGGAAATGTCACTTAACCTTGTTATTTTAAATGAGAACCCCATATTTTTATTGTATAATTCGATTCTAAAGTTTATTTTATGCCACTTTTGCTGAAAAGAAAATTTTAATAGGATCGACCATTTCTGAGTTATGCCCGAGTTATATTAACTTTAGCAAACATTGGTCTTACACAAACCCCAAGTTAAATTGTTGTTAATTTTTATTACAAAAAGCATACCCCCTCATGGGTCTGCCGTCTGGCATAACTCAGAAATCGTCGATCCTATCAAAATTTTTCTTTCAGTAAAATTGGCATAAAATAAGCTCTAGAATCAAATTGTACCATAAACATATGGGGTTCTCATTTAAAATAACACAGTTAGTGTCATTTCCCTATTATTAAATAAACAAGTCATAAAGCCTATGTGGGCACATGGTATTCAACTGTGGGGTTGTAGCAAACACAGCAATATCAAAATCATACAAACACTCCAAAATAAAATCTTACGTAACATGGTCAATGACCCTTGGTACATAAGAAATAAGGACTTACATAGGGATCTTTTATTTTTCTGAGATCACGGCGGAAATACAAAGATTTGCCGCGAAACACAAGGCTCACCTCAGCCAGCACGAGAATGTGGAAGCGACCAAATTTTTACATAACCGAAACATGGTCAAAGATTAAAAAGAACAAAACCATATGAACTTTTGTAGTTAAAAAGTGAATAGTGAAATGTAAATCTTATTGTACCAATGGGTTTATAAGAATGTAAACATTTATTTACTCTACAATATTATTGTAAAGTTAATGGTTGGTCCAATAAGATGTTTCAATAAATAAATTAAATTTAAAAAAAAGTTACTGTCATTTCCCAGCTAGATGAGAACGTTGTGTTAAATCTGTTACCATCACGCAATTCCCCTAGCCAAAATTAGCTTGCGGTTTCAATAAGGCCATTTTTTTGCTAAGTTAATCGTTTCCTAATTAAATGAATGGTCTACAGAAATTGATACATTCGGTATAGTTATGAACATTAATGTTGTAAATATGTACATGTGTAGCCATTTTGTTGCCCGATTGGACCAAAACTATTCCTCATTCTAGAAAAAGTTTAGTTTGGCCTCATTACACACAGGTAGAAGATGAGATTAAATTACCACACTCATTCATTCTGTTGTCCACTATTTCACCCAGCGTTTAGTTAAGTATTCTATGCTTGTATTCGGCAACCGGATCGGGACTTTGGGCCTAATAGAATATCTATAAATTATAACAGTGAAGCGTTGAATACATTTTTTAGCCAACACTTCCCCAGACGTTCATTGAATTAATGCCGTTTTATAATTGGTGTTTTACATGGAGCTTTAATTCAGGAGCCGAGAGGGAGAACCACACCAAATAATTTAGTATTAATATAAATTACTGGTAAACGTGTGGGACTAAGTTATGTTAACAGTTAACTAGTTTTCAATTAAGGGAAAGATTGTTTATTGCGGTCCCCAGTGTCCATAAAGACGGGCCCGGCACAGGCCCACGGCTCATTCTTTTCGTTTGCCCCCAAAAGAGAAACCATTATGGTAATTTTCTATCCCTTTTGTTATTTATGCCGATTTTGGCGAAAGGTCAAAGGTTAAAAACGGTACACTTCTTTACTTCAAGTTAGAAGAGAACATTTTTTTAACACGTGCGGCTCCTTAAACGGTGATTGTTCACGCCCTTAAAAGTTGAAAAAAAGTAATATCGCACTATTCTAAAATTTAAAAATTAATTATAAAAACGACCTTGAATTAAAAATTTACAGAACTTTAAGTAATTAATAATAATTATTCGGAATCGTGAGCTGCGGTCTGGTGTGACGTAGGTTTCAGAAAAAGATTTTCTTTATCGTGCCAAAGTTTCGATCTTTATTGAGATCATCTTCACGGCTCAAAGTGTTTGTTTTCTGCGTAATTGTGCCATTCTTGCGTGAAAACAAACACTTTGAGCACTGAAGATGATCTTAATAAAGATCGAAACGTTGGCACGACAAAGAAAATGTTTTTCTGAAACCTATGTCACACCAGACCACATCTTTTCCGAATTTCCGAATAATCATAGTGTAACTGTCACTAATCACCACACATGCAATTAATAATGAATATTTGTACTATAATAGCACGAAATCCTATACGTCTAAACATACTTGTCGAATTTTTGGTATTGTAGCAAATACATCTAGTACACAAAAATACGTTTGACTTCGTGACGTTGAAATTTAAGGCGAAAAATAAAAAGAATGTTTTTCTCAAATTAATCTTGTCTTATTTTTAAAATACATGAATCTACTGTTCATGAAACGGATTTTCAACTTTTAATGGAAATAAAAATTTCTAAACGTTTTTCAAACCAGCCCTACAATGTTATTTTAAAGGAACCAACAAATTCGTTTTAAAAGACTAACCAATTTTTTTCAGTAGTTGTGCTTGTTCGGCTGCTCCACTACATATTTTTCCTTATTTCTCCATTCGTTTTATTTATTTATTTTATTTTTTTCATTTCCACCCAAGTTGAGGCTGGTTCTCAGTACATTTAAATCATTTTAAAAAACGAATTAGGCTAGGTACAACATGCGAGAATTTTTTTAAATGTACTGAGGAGGATGCTTAGTGCGGTTCGAATACATTGCAATAGAAGGAATAAAGAACAAATAAAGCTGATTAATTTAAATAAAACCTCAAATAATTATTAATTACATATGAATAATATATTTACAAGCAACTTACCCTGTTCTATTAAGTGATCGAACACTAACCTTATTTAATATTGTTTATATTAAGTTTCCTTCACTTGGTACATCAAGGAACGGTAACAATCTACTCATACCATTTTGCAAAAAATTCAAAACATTTAATAGACACGAATTATTCGAGCTAAGGTTTTTCTGTTACATCTCAAAATAAGGAAATTGTCAGAGGGCCACTTTTTAAAACTCTACAAGCTAAAATTATTGAAGAGCCATTTTATGTACGAGAAAAAATATTTTTATGTGGGTAGTTTTTGTTTACGACATATAAATACGATTTTTTAAGTAAAGGAATGATAATGACAAAGGTTGTTGGTGTTTGTATAAATAAAGATATATAAAACTTTACATCAATGAAGCAATTTAGCATCATTACTCGCACTGCATATTACTTTGACGTTCAAGTACTAACTTCAAGTATACCATCCAGCTTTACGTAAATCAAAGAATTTTTTTATTAGGCGAGCAATTCCAAAACCACAAAGAAAATTTAGTTGTGAAACGTTTTAACTCGAAATATAAGATGTGGCGCCGCTATGAAAATGAAATATTCTAGCTTAAATTTGGGTAAAACTGGTAAAAGAAGTTACTTTTAGTTAAATTAATTTGGGGAAAGGTTTTATGTACTAATTATTTTGTAACAACTTGATAAATGTTTCAAGTCTTGAGAGATTTTCTCTTTAAGAACTGTTGTCATCACACCGAACTTGTAAATCTATCGTTACCTATTTTGTTGATCTGCTACGCTTGCTGGTTTGGTCTGTCAGACGCGTTTTGACAATTCGCCATATTCAGAACTTGGAAGTACGTAAACTTTGCCCTAAAAAAGTGATGAACACTCTAATTAACGACAGTTCACATACATCGTTTATTCCATTCAAAATGTTAGACCAATTAAAAAGATTAAGGGCCAACGATAAACGGTTAGGGCCACCGACGCCCCGGAAATTTATTTGAAATGACTTAAACCATCCATCGGGTTCAGTACAAATTTATTTTACAGTTTTAAGTGGCTGAATTTAATTTAAACTTGTCCCTACGTCGCTGTTTCATATTATAATTGAGTAGAATTTTTTTACTTTTCATTTTAAGAAACAAAGTGCGATCGAGTCCCAAGCCGTCGAACGCGTCGAGAATAATAGGGTTTCATGTATAGAATATCTTGATACAAATACAGGAATAGTGGTACATGGTGCAACAGGGTTAAAAAAAAGTGACGAACATTAATTTGAACAGGGTCCAAAAAGAAGTTACGTTAGTACAAACGTATCCTCAACAGCATAACATCAGGGTCTTAGCCTGGAAGCCCGTTCTCCATTCTTTAACCCCATCGAACATTTATGGGATAACCTCAAAAGACGAATAAAAGCACGTCCATCACTTTCTAATACATTCCACGGTCATGAAAGGACATTTCCAGACTGGTAGAAAGTTGCAGAGGCGTTTTCGAGACGTATTAAGGCAATTGAAGGAAATACGCAATATTGAAATGTTAATTAAAAATCTAAAACAAATTTTATCTGCCCGTCTTTTTTCAATTTTTCATTATCCGTAGCAATTTACTTTTTTAAACTTTTTGACAAAGATTCAATTATTAAACGTTAAAAAACGTGACACTTTGATTGTCAAACAATTTGAACAAATCACGTTATATTACAAGTGGGAGGAATTTTTTCCTGTCAGTGTGTAATGAGAAGTACACTATGTACACAATTATCCACTCATATGTGAAAAAATCACCTTGCTTTAACAATAATAAAACTAAGTATGTAAATACCTTGAATGCAAAAAATTACAACACAATGATATTAAATACATACTTATTTATGTAAAATACATCATACAATATTCACATAATATATTAATGTAGTTACCCCGGTCTGTTTTATTCAGAATCAAATTTAACTGATAATAAAAAATCAACGCTCGCCAGATAGTCTTAACTATCAACGGGGAACCAAAGCACTGGCAGCCAGAAAATATCACCGCGTGAGTCTGGAGGGTTCGCTGATACAAATAATTTATGGACTACAATTTACGAAAATGTAAAACAATAAAAGAAAGAAGTCTGATGGTTTAACGAATTACATATATTTACAAGAAACAGATAAGATTAAGGTACTATCCTAACTTAATTTAATGCCTATGTACATGTAAGAATTAGGTCTTCATTTTAACTAATGTGAACACCACTTGACAAGAAGGGACTTGAGAACGGTACACCCGACAATACGGCTACACTCCAAGTGGATGCTGTGATCAATCTTTTCAAAAGATTAGACCAATGCGTAAATTCCTTCTTCTATCCACGAGATCCAGCCGACACCTAAACCTCGGGTCTCAGCTCCCCTATAGTGGAGGCGCTGATTAGGGCTAAATTTCTCATGCTTCCTATATCGCCGAAACACCGGCCTAGACTTAATTACAACACCACCCTTCCTTTGAAGGGAAGAACCCTCAAGCAGTGTGGGTTCAGGAAGATTTTGTGGGAGAGGTTGCAGAAGGTGCGGTGAGCTTGAGGAGTGAATCATTCGCAGAATGATTTGGCTTCAACTGTTCCATATTTAGAGGATGGCCCCTTCATGCCGTCAGTAGTAGTCAATTCGTAGAGGTTGTAGTAGGTCAAATTTTGGAGCCATTTTCGCTGCAAACTTGTTAGACGATAGATGATGGGCTCGCGTCATTACCAAGTCTCCAATATTTTACGTGACGCCTCCTGAGGTTGTAGTAGCAGGATTGCCTCTTGGGCTCTTGAGGTCTACTGACAGATTCTTCTCCACTAGCATTTCCTGTAAAGCACATAAAGACTTTTGCCAACTGATTGGGTCCAAATACTGACCTACCTGTTTTAAACCAGACCTCGGCGTGTTAGGCTGCCTTAATTCCTGGCCAAAGTTTATAAAGGCCGGACTTTAGCCCATCGACGCATGAACACTTGAATTGAGAGCAAAGTAACAACTTCAGGCAAGTACATATCCTATTTTCCATTATCCACTCCCAGGTATGAGGAAATCACAATTTTTACGGTAAGATTTAGCCGCTCACCCGGATTAGCTGTGACCAGTAACGAGGTGTGTTTCTGATTTCGATACCGAACATATCGTAAGTTTTTATTTACAAAAGCGATGCCAGTATCAGTGATCAACCAGTATGGTGTGCTCCAACGGTACAGGATATGATGCTTAAAGCAACTGGCCACGGTAGTGGCATCGGCACTTCGGATGGAAATTAGTTCGATCCATTTTGTAAACAGACCTCGAAAATTAATATGTGCGCAAATCTTAGGAGGGGCCCCATAATGTTACAGCCCAAAGAATACTCAGATTTCTCGTGGATATAATTCCCGCAGGTCCTCTTTGTATGGGGGTTATGAAATTGAGATATCACGGTAGATTCCAGGCCTAAAATAAAGTTGTCGAATACGATCGTAAGTTTTTTCAGTCGACTTTTTTGAGGCAGGAAAAGGTACATCCGACAATACGGCTTCACTCCAAAAATTCCTTCCTCACACCAAAACCTCGGCGTCACAGCTCTCCGACCCCACCGCTTTCCCCTATCGTGAAGGCACTCACTGTTAGGGCTAACTTCCTCATCCATTCATATCGCCAGGTCAAGCGCCTGGGCTTAATTATTCAGTTTTTTAACATAATTTGTTGTAGCCTGTAAATATCAAAATACATAATTATTACAAATTTATGTGTATATACTTTACTAAAGTTCTGTACTAGGACAGTCAAGTTGAGATAACCTAATCAACGATGACACTCAATATGAGGGAGGTGGGAGATCGAGGTCTCGAGGACATTGTTTAAGGCAACATTCTCAATTTTTTGACTGATAATTTCTACAACCTTCTGCGTTATATTGGTCTGGTATTTGAGTGTTCTTGCCACACCTCCCTCTGAATTGACAATCAATTAAATACTATTCCAGGATAACATACTAAGGGGTGGGTGGGAAACTTAGTTTATAAATGTTGCCTAGGTAAAAGGCCCTATTCAAAGTGAACGAACCCGAGGAAAACTCAGTCTTCTAGAGTGGAGAAAATTATGGCAATAATTCTGAAACTTTGCTGGATCATGTGATGGGGACTAAAGCAGAATTGGAGTTTTCAAAGGAGCTTTGACATAGCAGAAAGAAGGCTGATACATCTGTATATGGATATGAGGTTGGGAGGTGAACATTATGAATGAGAAAACTATAGAATACTTCCATAAGAGAGGGAAGTGAATGGTATGTAAGATGGTATAATATATTGTAGTTTAAAATAAATGACCCTCTGAAAAAGGTATATTATATGTACAATTAAAAGAAATATCTTACCAAGTTGACAAGCTACACACGATGGATGTATAATGCTGCTGTTTCTATCAAAATAAAACAATTTTTGGTAAAACAAATTGTAGTAATGTTATTAAATTAAAAAATAAAATGAAATAAAAAAATTGTTGGGCCAACCTAATCATAGGCTTATTTGGAAATCGTGAGATGTGGTCTGGCTGGTGTGATGTAGGTGTAGAGAAACATTTTCTTTATCTTGCCTAAGTTTCAATCTTTATTGAGATCATCTTCAGAGCCTAGGATTTATAAACATTGTTTAATAAACAAAATTAAATAATAATAAATTCCAAGCCCTGAAGATGATCTCAATAAAGATCGAAACGTTGGCACAATAAAGTAAATGTAACCTACCTCGCACCAGACCGCATCTCACGATCTCCAAATAATCATTAATTAAGTCACTAAATATTTCACACTAACCATAGGCGATTTTACATTAAAAAATACATATATCAGGATATAAATAAATATATAAAAATTCCACTCTTACATGTGAAAAAATGTGTTGATTTGGCCATAGTACAATAAAGTATAACAATAAAAATTCCTTTTTATGAGCCTTGATATGACATCTAAATTAAATAAATTAAAGAAACTAAGTAAATATTTTTGATACATTACCTTGAAATTCATGTATGGTAGGTGAACCTTAGAAATACGAATGACTACAGAATCTTTCACAAGAGGGGAAAGTGAATGGTATTGAACATTGTGGTTTATAATAAACGACCTGTTGAAGAAAATTTATATGCCCAATTAAACTGTCTTACCAAGTTTGGAAGCTTCATATGCTGCATGTATAACGCTGCTGTTTCTATCATAATACAACACCTTTTACATAAAACAAATTGTATCATGTTATTAAATTTAAAAAAATAATAATAATTGGGCCAACCTAATCATAGGCGATTGTACATTAAAAATAAAAACATATATCACAATATAAATAAATATATACAAATTCCACTCTTACATGTGGAAAAATGCCTTGGACCATAAATATAAAGTATAAAAATAACATAAAAACTTTTTAAGAGCCTTGATATGCACCATACAAATGATATAAATACAGAGGTAAGTAAATATTTTTATACACTACCTTGAAATTAATGTATGGGAGGTAAACTCATTCTTTAGGAATGAGAATCCCTATAGAATCCTTCTATAAGAGCAGAAAGTGAATGGTATGTAGAATGGTATTGTATATTGTGGTTTATAATAAATGACCTTCTGAAGAAAGTTTATACATACAAGTAAAAGAATTATCTTACCAAGTTTGAAAGCTACATACGCTGGATATAATGCTGCTGTTTCTATCATAATAAAAAAAAAATATATAAAAAAAACATTAAACAATAAATACATATACCATAATATAAATAAATATATAAAAATCCCACTCTTACATGTGGAAAAATGCCTTGATTTGACCATATATATCATAAAGTATAACAATAAAAAACTTTTTACGAGCCTTGATATGCAACATACAAATTAATAAATTATAGAAAATAAGTAAATATTTTTTGTACATTACCTTGAAATTCAGTAACATTATAAAATTGACAACTTACATAAAATAAAATCATTAATAAAAATAGTCAAAAGAGAAAAAAAATGCCCATACTTACAACTGGGCATGATGAAAAATGTAAATAACAATATATAATTAGTACGATATACATTTTGCTTGATTTTAGACCAGATTCATCATAATAAATTAAGTAAGTTTGAATACCTGTTAAATGGCTACCAGTGAATTCGAAATCGTCATCTTGATCCCAATGCTTCAGCGAAAGATTATTAAGCGGGGTTGCATTTGCAAATTCCAAATTAGCGAAATGCCAATCTAAGAATTGCCTGTCTTGACAGGATAAATAAACATCACTGAAAATAAATACAATTATAATAAACTAATCAGTTACATCTATTCAAATACGAATGTATGATTTTCAAATAAAATTAATACAATCAAATCTTAGTAATCTGTATACAGAAAGTTTTTACAAACCTTGGAGGTTGACTTTCTAGTTCTTCTATTTTCGCTTCTATCTCTAACTGTTGCTTATTTAACTGGTCATATTCCTGCAATTCAACATTATTACGTGTGCAAATTGGCTGAAGATCACATATCAAAATCGCATACCTCAACTTTTGCATTCCACTCTCTAAACTTGCTTCTGACACTATATTCATGTGCAATATTTCTAGGTCCCTTGTTTTCTTGCATTGACTTGTATTGGCGGTGCAATTTATTTATGATTTCTCGTGTATCTATCATCTAATAATATTCAATTCAAAAATGAAAAATATAACTTAATTAACTTCAAATAACAATGTGATTCACCAGAATACCTACCCTTTGTTGGTTAACTTTTAATTTTTCTAATAAGTTTACAACAGCCTTATAATGTGATATTTGACGTTCTTTGACATATTTTTCCTGAAGTCTAAATTAAAAAAGCAATTTTAGTTTATAATCACCAAAAACAGCAAGAATAACTTACTTGATCACCCATTCAAGAGCTTGCCCTAATGAAACAGGCTTACCACCTGTATAATTAAAATCGAGCATATGTGACAGGTAACTGGTTGCTTCTAAAAGTCTATTAAACTCTCTCTCCACCATTTCATCTTTTTCTTTTGGTACCTGATTGAGAGAAACGAACTATGAATGTAGAATTATAAAACCGACCCAACTGGGGGCTTACCGTTTTCCCACTTGAATCATAAAGGGGACACTTCTGGCCTATTTTCTGCAGCTCCATGGGTATCTGTTTGGACAGGACGTTTACAGGATTTCCACCAAGTCCAGTAACGACCATGGCACCAAGATCAGCAATGTACGGCCCTTTACGAAAAGTAGCAATTCTCCCTCCAACCCGATCCTGAAAAAAGAAATATTTTGACAATTCACACCACCAATCGATATATATTCCTTACCCCCCCCCAAAAAAAATATATATATATCTATATATTTTAATTTTTTTTTCAATTTCTGTTATTTTTTATTTGATTAGACTTAACAGGTTCAATGCTGGCTGGAATTGGAATATTCACCCTCCCTGGAGCTAATTTAAAAAAATACATTATGACTAGTCTGCAGGTCAGCCATCCCGCTGAATGTCAGCCGCATTGGAATTGTTAAGTCCTATTGAATAATAACTATTTATTATATTATTACATCTCAAAGGATTTTTGGTAAGTTATAACGAAATGAATACCTGATCATAGCACCGATCCTATATATTTTCCGATATATTTTATATATATTTATTATATTTATAGCTATCCTAATGTTGGGCTTTGACCTGCAATTGTGCATAAGAAATTGGCTGATTATGTTGGATAATCTGAGCTTTACCAATCAACCAAACAGTTTACTTTCCCTAGTGAGCATAGTTTCTTTTATAACTTTTGACCAATTGTTTAGTCTGTATTGTGTGGCCATTTAACTTTAATATTGTAATAATATTTATTTAGTTTTCATTTTTAGACTCACCCTTGCTTCCAGAACAATAACATCCATTCCAAATTGCTGCATCTGTTGAGCAGCTGCAAGTCCAGCGATTCCAGCGCCGATTACTATGACCCGTCCTTGCTTCTTTGTAGGTAATGGCTAGATTGAAAAGTAACATGAAAAATAAATATAATATAAAATATAAAATTTTAAAAATTTATGTTTACCTTAAGTCTTTTAAATACTCCAAAATTGATAAAGCCATGCCTTTCTAAAAATGCATGAACCCTTTCTATAAGGGAAACGTCACTGCTGTACGGTGCTTCAATAAAAGGTATGGCATTTTCAAGTAACAACTGCTGCGTTGGATTTTCTAGCCAGAGTTGAAGCTAGAAATGTGAATAAATGATAATTATACATATCAAAATTTTTAAATAAATTGGTGAAAAAAGAAATGACCGTTTCCAAATTTTCTAAATACCTATTGGATTCTTTACTATATCTATTGTTGTGAGATTTCCCCTTGGGGCCTCCGGCCTGCAAAGTGATGAATCTAGTTTGGTCATATATGATTATTTTGTAGATCCTATCCACGTTGGTTTGCATACAAGGATGATCATAAACGACCAAACTGTTGCTTTATCACTTCTCAGACCTCAAGAAGAGCTGTCAGATTAACTTTTATTCACAAGCTCATGTAATTTAGCATTAAGCATATGTAATTTAAAGTCTTGAAACGTTTATTTCTTTTTTACTCACACTATTGCCCTACTAACCATTCGGTTTCTTATATATAGAAAACTTTTAACTGGGCATTGTTTGTCGTTGACTATATCGGGAAAGCACGAAGCTTCTGCAGCTGTCATTTTATCATATGGCAGTCTACTCTGGAATGCCGCACCTTCTAAGCCTAAATTGAAAATAAATATAATTTCAAATTATTGGTATGTTCAATTTAATAAAAACAAACCTGTCGGATCATCTTGTTCCGAATCCTGTTCACCTTCATCTTCCTTTTGGCCTTTGACCGTAGGCGCTGCAGAGGCTGAAGTCCCCGAGCTGCCACCACTTTCAGCATTGTCCGACTAATAAGGCAGACAGAAGGTTTAAAAATTGGCAATTTTTGAAATACAGTAATGATTTACCTGTGCAGTTGGGGAAATTTGCTTTTCTGTTTTCAACAAATCTGAACCTGCATCTGAAGCATCGCCATCTTCAGGTGCAATCTGCATCTCTTCCTCAGGCTGGTCAACCTGCTAAAGTTACATTACATTATTAAATTGTAGTAATCTAAATATTTATAAATAACATTTAAGCATCAGTAGAAGCATTATTAGCTTCTATGCCATTATGTAAGCATATTTTGATCAGTTATGAACGGCACCAACTGATGACTTAAAAATATTATAATAAATATAGAAGATTCCAGAATAAGAAGCAGCAACAAAACTGAAGACAAGAGAGAGAGAGAGAGAGAGAGAAATAGTTTTAATTTCAATTTAATGTTTATATGTTTACATTCAACATTGGAAACATTACCACCATTAAATGGAAGCACTTTACGCTTAAACTGTACGGCCTCACTGGAAAAGATGACCCTAACGCGTAGATTAAAAGTGCTCTACTATGTAGTACTTTCCAGGATATGGAATAAAGAAGGTTACAACAGTGCTTTTTGATCAGAGTGAAAGGGAATTGTGTATAAACATGAAAATAAGCAAATTTAAATTCACACGTGAGGTCCCTACTTATTTCAAATTACAATAAATACCAAATCATCCAGAAATTTTTTTATATTTAATTCAAGGAAAAAATTGGGTGATAAAACTGCCAGACAAATGTATTATATTTATTAGTTTGACTGCTTCTTGGAGAGAGATTTTTGCTAGGAAATTACATTATTTTTTATAGTTTGCAATTGACGCTGATGGACATTTTATTTACAATATGAATTGTTCAAAAATGGAACTTGCAATAGCAAGTTAGGGTTGCTACTACCTCAAGCATGTGCCAAATCACTTACGTACACTAGACCCATCTGAAAAGATGAGGTGAAAGTTCCAATAACTTAGCTAGGTAAAGGTATGGTGGAATAAATGATTTGGCTAACATGATGAAAACGTCCTGGATGAATAGGACAAGGAGCCAGTTGCCCAGCTTGAGTATCGTCCCCAGTATCTTCCCTGCCCCCCCCCCCAAGGCTTCGCCAAACTATTACTAGGTCACGTCCGAGTCTGAGATTGTTCATGTGGCATCTAAGTTCCTGGTATCTAAGAATCGCAACCCGAAAGCAGATGTCGCAGCCAATCTGCTGCTGAGGGTATTTTTTTAAAACTTTTTGTTAGATTCATATTCATAATATAAATTAATTACTACAGGTTAGACTAAACATTATGGCAGCAATGATTGTAATGTTGTAATAAACTATTGTAGCATTTGTTCTTAACAACTAAATCAACTGTATTAATGCACACAATGAGAAATACTGATTACTATAGTAAAACCTTTTCTTGATCTATTGTTTCCATGGAAAATACCCTTCAATTTTCAGCGATCGAACAAAGCAGTCTTTTGTGTAAACACAGGCACATCTATCGACATAATTATTATTTAAATGGCATATCAAAGAAAATAAAAGAAACTCTCGAATATTCATTCATACAAAAGTTAATTTGGATAAATCAGTATTATTTTAAAAATCTAAACTTTCGCCAACAAAGAGGAAATTTTTTTCAAGAGCTACTTTCGATTTCGTAGACGCTGAAAACGATCTTGGCCGGCATTTATTTGGTGAAAAATGGAAAAAGCTTAATTGTTATTCTTCCGTTCGCGTGCTGCTTTCTTGTTAACTTCTTTTAATTACCTGTGTTTTCTTTCTTCTACTCATTTTCCAGTGAAAAGCTCAAAACGTGTTCCCAACTTCTCACTCGGCTTTTTAACCAGTATCCACTAACGACCGACAAACGAACCTTACTTGTTAATAGCCGTGATTGTTTACCTTTAATTTACCCTGCCAAACTTAGTAAAAGATAGTTACCAAAATACTTTCAATAAATATATTACAAAAATAAAAACTGAAACAATTTATATATTGAGTAATTAATTACGTTAATAAACTTTTTTGAATTGATCATGCCACCTTTAACATGGGGTCAGATTTGCCGCCTTTTGGGTTAACATTTAAATTTATTAAATTCACTAGTTTTCGTGGTCCGCCCGAACAATTAATTCAGTTCATTCAAATTTATTGTCATTATATAAATTATAACTATTATTTCGAGATCGTGAGATGGGGTTGTTATAATCGTTAATTATAATATAATAATCGTTATAAGTCATGTCTATCTTTTGCAGTAGTTGGCGCCAAATTGTACTGTGAACATCGAGTTTCTTCTATCCTGGGATCCTCATATCGATACCTTTTTCTCTTTGTACAGGGAGTACCTTACCTATTTCTCTTATTAATATTATCTTTTCTTTTTTAAATAATTATAAGGATCTATCGTACCAGACTATATTTTGTATTAATCCATGGTGGCTACAGAATTCACCAAGGAAACTTCGCCCCTGAGCGAGGACTATGACAATATTTTTAAACCAAAAGGTTAATTATGTAGAAATGCGTGAGTATGACCCTAATTAAAATGCACAGAACAAAACATTCTGCAGCTTTAACCCATTTAAAGTGTGCAAGTTTATAAAGAGCTTTGCCATGAACATAAAGCTGTTAAGCAACGGAACTAAACTGCTCAAGAACGAATAGCGATATTGCCAATTTTGTAGTATTTACTTTCCCTAGCATTTTTGCTTCATTTTTATTATAAATTGCATTAAAATGTATTAAAAATTATTGCGTTTTTTACTGAAGGAAAATTTAATTAAACGATTTTGAAAAATAGCAAAGTAAAAGGTTTTAATTCCACTATTTTGTTTATTGGACAAAATAATTTTTTTAAATAATTAATACCGTCCTCTGTTAACTAAAATCTCTGAGCAATTGTTAGTCATACTGTTAATAAGATTGTTACTAATTTCATAAGGAATTTCACTCCTGAGGTGTTGCAGGTCAACTAACTGTGGATGGTGAACAAAAAGCCTTTTCTTCAACACATGTTTACATGTGATCAATGGGATTGAGGTCTGGTGACAATAAGGGAAGGGGCAGGTGGGAAATTCCCAGGTTTTCTAATCATTGATGAACAACTCTGCCTCTATGAGGTGTGGCATTGTCTTCCAGAAATCGAAAAGCTTTGCCAATGAGATCCTTGGTTTGAGGGATGTATTCCTCGATAATTTCTTGGACATAAAGACCTGTCATGCGGTTCCGTTCAACAATATGGAGTTCAGTTCGTCCTCCTGTGGAAATCTCAGCCCATACCATTACACCGCCTCCTTCAAACTGCACTGAAGGAAGCACGAACTGGGGCATTGTACGCATCCACATTCTCGGTAGACTCTTCGGCGCTTCTATCACTGTACAGACATAAACGCGACTCATGAGTAAAGATAATTGGTGTTATCATCTTGGCACTCCGTGAACCTTATTCTCCTGAGTTGCTGGTGGCGGGCTGTTGCTGCAGGTCGTCGCAAAACGGGATAGGATGTGATTCCAACTTCCCTATTGTTCGATTCCTATTGATAAAGGCCTTGCCAAAACATCTTTTACTTCATTTAGGATCTGGCGGGCAGTATAGAAAACGTTCCGTAATGACAATATTTCTTTCCTTCCTTTGCGTCGAAATGTGCTGGGATCCATTATTAGCAGCAATCCTTGCATCAAAACATCTCCCCAGATAATACTAAAGTTAACATTAAATAACTCAAATGTCGCATTTTTCAACTCCTATTGTTAAGTAGGAGTTACATTTCATAAAAATCATAATTGGAAGGAAGACATGGTCAAAATTAGAATATCCTGCTTCTCTTTATTCAATCTTGTTTGAACCGTTAGCTGTACGGCTTAATGTGCTGACGGAAAGAGCATGCTCTCTCTCCTTAGTACATCTCTAACTTTTTGGAAAACCTAAAACCCTTTCAACATTTCGGAGAGAGGAATTCGGATTTTCGCGAACATATTCAACTCCTAGTCTAAATTACTTTGTTGATTTCTTAGTGATGGTTCAGCAATTGATCCGTATCTTCTCATATTGCCAGCAACACGAATAAACGTTTTGTGGTTTACTTTGGGGCAATCAAGAAATTTGTGGGAGTACAACTCGACTGCACGACGCACAATATGACCACTATCAATAAACATGTCGTACATATCAACTCGCTGTTGATCGGAAAAATGTGCTCTTCGGTTCATTATGAATGAAATACTGAATGTACCGTACTAATGTAAAATTTATTTACTTTCAGGAATTAAGATTTGCACTCGTAATGCGAGTTCTACAAGCAACGACAGAATGTAAACAATAATGGCAAATAATGTTTACTTTTGTGAAGAAGCAAATTGTTGGGATTAACAAACGAAATGCGTTTTTTTTCAAACTTTTTGCCTTAAATTTGTCATTTTTTGGCCAATTTAAAATTCATTCGCACCATTGTTTTCAGCACAAAAAATCCTTTAAAATAAAGTGTCAGGAGGTATAGTGTCAGTAGTATTTGAAATTTTGAAATTGAATTGAGTCTGAGGTACCCTGCGTAAATTTTCTCCAAAAAAGGTAAAAATTTGAAACTAGACCAAAAATAGTAAAAACTTTTTTTTTATATTGGTTCAAGAGAAATTCATCCGGGCAATCTATAAAAGGCACCCTGTTGATATTTGTAAATATGTAGATGGTATAATCCGCAGGTAAGGATATTTCTGTTTCTTTTCTCTCTCTACTCATTTTAATTTGACGTAGTATATCATTTGGTTCATTCACTTCTCGGTTTTGACAGCCGCAAAATCTGTTTCTTTTTTCGTTACACATTTCTAAGAGACATTCCCTCAGACGGTCGGTCAGCTAACCACGGGAGAAATGCCTTAGTACTTGTATGTCGTATTACTTCAATTTACATGTAAAAAAGAAATAAAGACATTATTATTATTACTAATTTTTAAGGGTGTTTTGACGGCTAAGGTCATTTCATGCCCTAGAATCCAAACCTTCTATCTTAGGTTAGCTATATCCCTTCTGAGTGCTATAAAGCTCTGACTCCAAACATTCACTCATAAACTAATTTATCCTATTGCCATCCAAAGCTTTAATTTATCCTTTTAAAATTCTTAATTTGGAAGCCAAATGTATGCAAATATCCCATGTTAAATTACATATAAAATTTATTCCTGTTTTTTGATTAGTATTTTGAATTATTGTTCCTTAATTTAAACATTTCCCATAGGCTTTGTATTTTCTTCCATTTCATTTTTCCGCTCCGGTAGCCTTAAAAATTCCTGAAAAAAGAAAGAAATCATGCACGCACAACTCTCATTTCAAACATTACCAGGCAAACATTCAATGGTATAACAATTTGGGAAAAGGCCTAAATCTCATTATAAATTCAAATAAATTTGAAAAAGCTGAAAAGGGCTCTTCGAAAGAAACACTGGGGACCCAGTAACTCCTGGTTGCTAAGTGGGACAGTCGACCAAAATATGTTTTACTGTCAGAATGATACGTACTCCACTTCGTATACATCGAGGACAAGTTGGAAGGTTGTTGCCTATTAAAAGCCTATTATGGATTAGCCTGATGTGACCTATTCGCAATCTAGAGAGAATCACAAGTTCTTTTCTCTCAAGTTCTTCTGTTGGCCATTTATGTACATCTGGCTTAATTTCTTTCATACTATCTCTACAGACATTCCATCTTGCCGCTCACTTTCGTTTGATAATGTTTTTAACATAAACGACTATATCATCTTGACGGAGATGAAATTGATCTGTTCTTTGTGGATGGTTTGCAGCGTTCCTTGCCTGTTGATCAGCTCTTTCATTTCCGAAATGCCGACATGTCTAGGAGCCCAAACGAATACCACATGTTTGTTAAGTGTTCTGATTTCATAGAGATATTTGTGAATTTCTAAGATGGGTCAACCGAGAAATTATTTTTGATGGCTTCGATACCACTTTTCGAATCAGAGTAAATACATTATTATTATTAACAGAAAAAAAAACACCGAAAAACAATATTAAAAATTGTAATATGATAGATATATGGCTGGAATGTGTAGATAGACAAATTGAGTTGGATAAATATGTAAATAGTAGATATGGGTTGATAAGGTTAGATTGATGGATATTTTGTTAAATTGATGGTTGGAAGAAAACTAAGATTAAGGCTAGGTGGATATTATGTTTATTTGTATTTTAGGTAGCATGTGTAAGATAATTATATAGGCATTTAAGGTTTATTATCACATTGCTTTTAATTTTGCCCAATATCACTTTATTTAAATAAAAAATTTGAATGTCAAACAAATGTAATATGTGAGGATCCCTTAGTGAAGTAAGATGTATTTATTGTTATGGGTTGTTAAACTTTACTTGCACTCAATGAGTAGGTAGCGAATGACGAAAGTCGTTTGTTGTTATTGTGACCTGCCATTTACCCTCAAGTTTATAATATATTGCTTGTCAGTAACTTTCAGTTTCATGGGTCGTAATGGTAGAACGGGTTCATCCAAAGTCATTCAAACACTAAACGGTCATAGTAATTTTCTTTCTAGAAGAAAGATTCACGTGAATGTCCTTCCTAATTTGGCGGTATCGCTCTGTGAACCCGAACTTTCCATAAAAGCGATTTTAGCTTTATTTTCTGTCTAAATTTGTAAATCAAAATGTCATTGGTAGCAGTGTTTCATTCGGAGATCGTCAATCGAACTGATGCTTCAATGAGCAATGTAAACTTATTCGACCTGAAAAAAATTCTAACTGTGTTTTTACTGAACGTTTAAGCAGAAAGTAAACGAATGTCAAAAAGAAAAAAACTTCAAACTCATATTTGAACATTGATGAGCAAATTTGGCTTGTTTGAACGTGCAAATAAA